CCGTGGCGTACGCGTCGCGCTCGTTAAGTGCTGCGGAGCGAGCCTATTCACAGATTGATCGCGAGGCGCTGGCTATAATTTTTGGAATTAGGAAATATCATCAGTACTTGTACGGGAGAAAGTTTCTACTTAGAACAGATCATAAGCCTTTAACATATATTTTTGGTAACAAAGTAGGAATACCGACAATGGCGGCTTCGCGGCTACAACGTTGGGCAATTTTACTGTCAGGTTATGATTACGAAATTGAGTACGTATCGTCGAACAAGAATTGTGCGGACGGGTTGTCTCGGTTACCGTGCGGTAAACAGAATGTTAAAGAAGCTCGTAATGAAGTCACCTATTTAAACTTTGTCGAAAATTTTCTTCCAGTAACCAATAGAGAAGTGAGAAAGGCTACGGCAAAAGATATTTTACTATGTAGGATCATGTTGTACGTACAGTCTGGTTGGCCAGGATCTTGTCCAGATGAACAAGTTAAACCATATTACGTGCGTCGGCACGAATTGTATTCAGATCTGGGGTGTTTAATGTGGGGTTATCGAATGATAATACCAGCAACTTTACGGGAAAATATATTAAAACAATTGCATATTAGTCATATGGGCATTGTCAAAACGAAATCATTAGCGCGTAGTTTTGTTTGGTGGCCCAACATAGACAGTGATATCGAGGAAATCTGTCAATGTTGTGAGACGTGCGCGGCGGAGGGGGCAGCTCCCGCGCGAGCGCAACCACACCCTTGGCCTTACTCCGCGCAACCTTGGAGCAGGTTGCACGTAGATTTTCTGGGTCCATATCGGGGCAAGACATTTATGGTTTTAATTGATTCCAGTTCAAAGTGGCTGGAGCTTTTTGAAATGCCTCACACCAAGGCAAGCTATGTAATTAAAATTTTAAGAAAAACTTTCTCTCAGTTTGGACTGCCTATAGAACTTGTGTCGGATCAGGGCCCTCCTTTCACAAGTAATGAATTCAAAAACTTTTTAATTAATAATGGTATTCGTCAATTTTTCTCCCCGGCATACCATCCATCTTCAAATGGGGCCGCTGAAAATGCAGTAAAATTATGCAAATCAGTTATTAAGAAAGCGTATAAAGATAACGTAGATATTGACGCAGCCTTACACACGTTTCTGTTAAACTATAGAAATACACCGCATTCTACCACAGGCGAAACACCCGCGCTTTTGTTACAAAGGCGTACGTTGCGCACTCGCTGGGATTTATTGCGCAGCGAGCACGCGCTCGAGGATCGGGTACGTAGTGCGCAACAGCGGCAGGTGGATAACGCGGGAGGGGTGACTCGCGACCTAGCGCCGCACACAGCGGTGTGGACGAGGAATCACACAGCTGGTGATAAATGGGTCAAAGGTGTAATTCAAGCGAAAACGGGAACTCGAGAATATTTGGTCGATAATGGTAACGGTCAATTTACCAAGAAACATGTAGATCATTTAAAACGTAGATCGCTATTATCTGATTTCTCTTGTCCTAATAGTACTGTCATTGAGGATTCGGTAGGCCCGTCGGAGGGGGCTGAGGCTGGGGATGTGGTATCCGCGGCAGGGGTGGCGGTGAATACATCGGGTCAAAATAATGTACTGGAGGGTGATGTTAGCAATAAAGATAAATGTTTATTATCAGATTTGCCGAGTTCTGAGTTAGTATCACCGCCACCTGAGACGCGTTCCAGGCGTATTCGTAAACCGGTTGTTAGATTTCAAATATAACAACTACTAGCGAATATGAATTTTGTTATAAATAAATGTGTATGTTAAAGTTGTGTTGTGTAATATTAGAATAAGTGGCGAGGTGTAATGTATGTATAAGTAGGTAGCCGGTACTTACATACTCGTAGATTAACTATTTATATTTGGGGGTACTTCGGTGCCGTTTTGTAACGCTCATGTAAATGGCTCAGTCGTATTACAATCGTGTAACTAAGAGGCATAGTTTTATTATATCCCGACTTCCCATATATTTCAGTTTCTTCTGCGTATGATGTAGCTTCACGTAAGGTGAAATAATTTTTAAAATCAATTCAGTATTCAGTCTCTAATCTTCCTTCTTTATAATATTAGTATAGCTAAGTGAACATTTCAGTGGAAATTTGTAAAAGAACCATTAGAGAAACAAATATCTCATTATATGACAAAGTAAAGGGTTCAAAAATTTGTCTTAGTATAATATCTTTTATGTATATTTTTGATTAACTACAAGTTTTATAGATTCGTTAAATATCATGGTTATTTAGCGGATGAAAGGTTAACGGCGCCCTCAATCTTTATTATCCTGCGAATCAAGTTTAGTCACGCGTCTGCTTAATCCCCATCTACAGATTACATGATGTAATTTTTAAATATCTATTGGTTGATTGATTATTCAATAGAGAATTCTAAATTCGCATTTGAATAATAATCATCATCAGCCGTACGCCGCCTTTACCTGAGCATAGGCCTCCCTATACATCTCCACGAGGATTGATCCTGCGCTGCCCGTATCCAGCGGCTTCCGCAGCATTTATAAGATCTTCGGTCCACCTGGTGGGGGCCTATCAACTGTTAGCTATCTCAAAATTATTTTAAATCTTGGCATTACAGAACACGGAAAAGAGGTCTGTGTTCTGTGCTTGGCATTATGACAAACTATCGGATGACATTAAATATAAAAAAAAATTAAGTGACGGTAGGAGGAAATACAACGGCGGAACGGACGGCGATTGTGATGATTACTATCGGATTACGAATATCATTGCGTCAAAAATATAGCTTTATAAATAGCGAATGTTCAACTAATATTGAAAAATAAAAGACTGTGATTCAAAAAGGAGGTTTTATTAACACAACTGAGAGTTGTCTGGTACGTGGTCGCCATTCTAGAATCTTTCTGCCTCAGCGGCCATCGGTTATTCTAGTTCGGTGTACTGTACCTACGGTTCACTTCATTTAAATCATTGTGAGCAAATTGCTTTGGGTAACGAGCTTTGAGACAAATAAATTTCTAATGTTTATCACAGATTTTTATTTACAGTTTTTATAAATATTCCGTATTCAATTCAAGTGTAGGTAGGTACAAGTAAAATTTCCATGAACCTATACATTTAAAAAAATGTTTAATTTATATCATAATAATTTATAATTATAGGTAAACACAAACCTATGGCGAGAGTAATTAATAGCATAATGTCCTTATTTAACGATATAATTTAATTTACGATTTCTATGTACTATTTTCAATGTTTGGCTTCAGTCAAGTTTTTATTTGAGTTGGTTTTCTATTAACCGTTTATTAATACATATCTATTCAAGATATAAAATATGGAGTCGGAAACAAAAGGTCTCAGCCAAAAATTACGTTATATGAATATCAGACCTTTTAGAAGGGGTCAGTGCAAATATGACGAAAGTTCCTTCAACCGTTCCACGGAAGTGTGTGTTAGTACGTGTCGGAATTTCCGTTAAGTGAGCAAAGTCAAATCATATGTACTATATTATATAATTTGTAAGTTCTCTCTGTTGTTCCGCGACAGAAGTGACGCGATACATATCCCACCAGATAAAACTATTTGAATGAGGTAACTATTTTTCTTCGTTACACAGAGTGATACCAAGAATAACTCAGTAACACAATTCAATATTATTCTACAATTCACATAGTATAATCCTTATAAAAAGGATTTTACTCTAACATTTTCTCATATTTGTAAAGGAAGGAAAAGGTTGTTTGATTGCACGTAACTCTGTTCTCGACGTTCAATATAATTATACTACTTAATAAGAATAATAGTTCAAAATAATACAAGACACTGTAGCTATAGGTACACATGTTTGTTTGTAGAGCTTTTTTATTAGCATTCATTTATATGAACAATTTATAACTGTTATTTTATAATCAATTTATTGTGCTATGGGTCTATTTTCTAACAATAAACGTCAAATGAATCCGCCATTGATAATTTCTCAGATAACATAAAAGTAGTGCAAGGATATTTAGAGGATAGTAACACTTCTTTGTGTTATTTAGAGGATAGTTCACACACTTTCTCACGGTTGGAGTTCATGAATATCCTGCTAAATACACTTTAAAATTGACTTCTGCTCATTCATCTTTCGAGGTTCAATATATACCTTATATTTCAATCGATGTGAGTCAGTCAATGTGATACTTAATGCGTAACTAAATAAGCTATGGTTCCGTTGCAGTAATGCTATGATCATTGCGACACGTTGCCGAAGGATGCGCAGCTGTTTTGGCGCGAAAATGGGTCTGCCTCTTCAGCCTCGCCCATGAAGCAGTACTGGCGGTATGAGTTCGCCACCATTTCTTGTAGTTGAACTAGGTGCTCGGGCCCGCGAGTCTCGCACACTACTTTTACCTAATATAATAAAAAATTACAAATTAAAACAGCTAATAGCTAAGTTCTGAAAACTCGGGAAAGTAAAAGATCGTTAAGATGGTCAGTGATAGTCGAGGAGAAAAATTTTAAGGTAACCGTGAAGTCAGGAAAAAGATTTTAGATCTTTGTAGAGAAAATATTATTACTTAAGATCAGACATTTTAGTACTAAGATTATTGTGATATTTAGTGCCAACTTCACCAAACCCAGTCTTCTAAACATTTCTTTTCAACGAAATTTAAGGTATACGATTGCTTAAAATTTTCTTCAATAACAACGCTTCTCTAAAAACTTTAAATTCTTCAAGATGGACTTGCCCGTCGAACTCAGGAATAGCTTGAAAGATCTCGATTGATGAAACCTACGCTCTGATCAATGACGGCACAAATACAAAACCCCGAAAACTTTCAACACGAACTTCAGAACCGCTTTGTAATCCTTGAGAATAATTTAGATATGGACGATTTATACAGCACGGTGGTGGACACTGTTCGTGTCTAAGTATTACGCAACCCACCCTCACAGAACCAAGAAATTAATGATACTCTAACTCATGAAAACTAGATACGAAATGAGGGCTACATAACTATGGACTGGACACAATTGGACACAAATCGTTGTCGGCTTTTATATAAGAATGTAATTCCCATTAATGATGTTATTAATCTAGTATTGTTATTGCTAGGTTATTGGTGCTTGATAACAGCCTAACCCTGACACTGAAGATATCTCCGTAGACCCAGGCGCGCTCCTGCATGATGTCCTTGATGGAGACGCCGATGGAGGCGATGAGTTTGCACAGCTCTGCGATGCCGCCGGGCCGATCGCTAACTGTCACCTTGAACTTCACCAGCCGCCGCTCCGCCGCTAGTCCCCGCTCCAAGCACCGTCCCAAGATAGTACTGTCGATGTTGCCTCCTGACAGGATGCACACCACTCTACGTAACGCATAGTAAACAAAAATTTGAAAGTAGAGCTCGATGATTTAGTAGTTAGTGTATTCGATCTGCAATGTGGAGGTTCAGCAAGTTCGTAAAGACCAGTTTCAGGATGGGTGAAGGAAAACTTATTATAAGTTCCTCCGTGCTTCGAATGGCACGTGACGCCGTTGATTACGGCTAGCCTTACTTAAAGCCCACTAAACCCAACTGCACCCGCGTGGTGAGTTAGGGCAAGGTCTCCCTGTTTGATTCTATTCCTAGTTAATGTTTGTGACTTTCCAGAGAGGACATTAATAAACTGATAAAGATGATGATTATAAAGTAAAGTAATAGCTTGTAAAAGCCTTTTAAATTGATACTCGTGCTTTAGAATGTATACTTTACTAGCTTTCCACCAGGGTCTTCACCGGTGTGGTCTCTAGGGAACTATTTATTTGGATATCAATTATTTAGATTATCTAAGATTGACGCAATGATATTACAATAAAAAGGGTAAATAGGTTATGTCATTACTAATAAGACGTCAAAAATTGTCCTCAACATATACGCACGCATATGACGTGCATGCGCTATATACCTCACATAAATTTTAAGATAGTCGATAAGAATTTTAAATGTGGAGTAACGTAATATTGCGTAGATATCATTTTTTAGATATCACGTACGCTCTTAATCAAAACAAATAATTTAGCAGAGTACAAAAAACAACCTTTTGCACTACATTTTATAGATTTGACCTTATGAAGTAGACTGATTAGATTAATTTGAGAAACCATTATAACCTCGTGTATTCATAAGTTTTGAGAAAAACTTTTTACTGAAAAAATAAATTAAATGTTATTTATTTTTTACCGATTTTGAATTTCAAATGTCAACTTTTAGTTTATTTGTATAATGTATCACAAATTCATTTGTTTATATTTTCTCGTGATGAAATATAAACAATTACGTGCAACTGTCATTTTGCTATTTAAGGCAGGAAAAATAACCGATGCAGATTTACTGCGAGCTGAAAAGTTTTTCTGTAAGACGTAACTTCGTCTATTACACAATACAGCGGTACAAAGAGAGAAGTTCTCTACAAGATCGCCAAAGGTCGGCCACGCTCTGTGAGGATGCATGCGAAAAATCAACATATTACCTCTCGTATGATTTTGATGTTCGCATCGATTTCGCCGAAATCCATGCCGCACTAACATTCGGGGGTTTCAGTGAACAGAATACTGAAATATGATCTTAAGGTTAAGGCTTATAGCCGTAGAAAAGTTCACTTTTTCAACGATCGTCGTCGTAAGTTACGATGCGAACGTTGTACATAACTACTGAAAATTTTTACTGTCACGCACTCATCATCCGGCTAGTGTGATGGTATGGTGGGGAGTTTCGTAAGAAAGTGTATGTGTAATTTCTGCCAACAAGGTGTCAAGGTGAAAGTCATGAATTATCAGAGTGACATTTTAGAGCCCGTGGTGAAACCACTGTCTTATATGTTATTTCACAATTAGGATTGGGTTTGCCCTCCTCCAGCCCCGACCTCACACGCTGGATTATTCTTTATGGACTGAATTAGAGCTCAGGGTCTGCCGAAAGTCCCGCACTAACTTGGAGTCACTGAAGTGAACCATTGATCGAGAAGCAAAGCGAATTCTGATGGAAAAGATTCGTGCCGCCGTTGATGACTGGCCAAATCATCTAAGGGCCTGTATTTAAAACAAGCGGTCATTTTGAATATAATATATATTTTTATTGTTGATTATTATCTATTAAATGGTTATTGAAAACTTCAGAAATATAAGTTAATTATTAAAAAAGTTACGAAACTTTTCGTTTCGTTTCGGCTCAAAACTCATGAACACACGAGGCACATAATTTATATGTAAATATCAAAACCAATTAGCATGTCGTCGTCAGTCGTATTTTTTTGGAATAATTGCTGAATGTACTAAAGTATGTATAAGAAAATGTTTTTCGATAATATTTAAGATTTGCATAACGTTGGCTCTAACGTAGGTAAGTTATAAGTTTTTAACGTTATTAGTGAAATGTACTGACTTTTTGTTGGCGAGTTCTGGAACAAGGCCGGCCATGATGGCGGCGACACCCACCGCGCCTCCCCCCTCTACCACATACTTCTCGTGCTCCACCAGCCGCAAGATCGCACGCGCTATCCAGTCCTCATTCACAGTTAACTGTTAACGAATTAAAAAAAACCTCCATAAAATCCAATTTGAAAATATATCTGAACAACGCTAACTGCAATAAAAATATGTATTCGCTTACGATTATAATTTTCTTTTGCTTTTTTTAAATATATATGGTTGGAGTGTACGTGAAAGGCTCAGGAAAAGACAGAAAATTTCTGATCGCACATCTAACCTAACCTAACCAAATCTGGTGAAATAAAATACTATCAGTAAAATAAGTAAGTCTTTTCTTCATTCCTCAATATTAATGTCCGCAATGTCTCTGCATATTAATTACCAATTTATCAATGATAGGCTTGACGGTGAGGTACGCGTTGTAGCCAACTGTAGGTACAGCGAGTCCATCAGCGAGGGTTGACCGGATCTCTACGCTAGTTGGCTCGTCATTTTTCATCGCCATCTTCATGCTAGGGCATTTTTCTGTTTCCACTCCCTAAAAAAATCAATATTATTTTTACTGTATAGTGTATAATAGCGTTAAGTACCTATGCATAGGGTTTTAAGACGCTTTAATGGTGATTATGCTATGCACATGAATTGCTCTACCCTAAGTATCTCTTAATTTTTAATTTCTTACACAGAAATCATTTTTCAAATAATAGAATCGACTTCAAATCTTAAAAACGTGAAAAATTATTCTTATCTTAAAAGCAGTTAATTTATTCAAGAACCATTGAAGTTGATTTTTTTTTGCAAAATTTTATTTGACGACCGAACCAAACGAATGAATCGGTGATCATACCTACTAGCATATAAATAATATAATTATATACTCGTATATCTTAATAGCTTAATCGAAATAGAGTAATAGCCTGATACAAATACGAGAAAAACGGAACTAATTCGATATAAGCCTGGAATATTTTTAATCAAGTTTGTGAGCCAATTACAAGAGACTATATTTAAGAATCCGTCTCATTTTAGCTACGGAAGGTATAAAAGAAACATCAAGTCAAAAACCTTCATTTCCTTCACGCAAAATTACAAATATGACCTTTTTCACAAATTTTGGTTTTATTTATCATAAAGACAATTATAATTACTGAAATCAAACAAAAAAGTTACAGGAAATAGTCATTTTTATTAAAAAAAAAAATTACTTTTTTTTTTAATAGTTTAATATGATAAAACTTTTATTTAAAGTATTTCTGAGTGGATTTTAATGATATTTAGTAGAATATGTGTTTAACTCAAAAGTCTGCTGCATATATTTCGTGTTATATTTTTGCTTCATAAATAATTATAAGGCTTATTATCATTGCATTCAAAACAAAATATACTTAGCGCAATATAGCAATATCGATTGAAGTCGTATTTCATTGTTAATATTATTGACTTTTTTACAAATGTTTTTTAAATATTTATTGTCTGTGTTTTTATAAAAATATGAGTTTCCAAATATAATATTGATAAAATTTATATATTTCATGGAAGTAATAGGAAGCAGCGCGAAAATACGTAGAAGTCAATATGTATTTTGCTTATCATGCCATTGAGAAATTAAAGGAATTTTATTTTTTTTTACCAATAATCCGAAAGAAAATGTCGATGGATTAATTCATATTTTAAAAAGGAAAAATATGATTACCCTAAGACATTATTAAGAAAAAAAACACCTGTTATGTTTTAATGTTTGATCTCCATACTGAAAGTTGGTACATATTTGTACCAGGATAAAATTTGAGGCTCCGTCTGAGGTAAGTTGATATATGGTTTTACTCTTTGATTTACTCTAAGATAGAGTGCTTCGCTCAACAATTGTGGATCGAAGATTAACTCTATAGTACTATAACGTAACGATTCTATAGTAACTGACCTTTTTATAATCTATGTTTCTAATATAGACCATCGTCTGATAATCCCAAGCCTGTCCCATGGACGAAACTACTACGTCCATGATCCAAGCTATGTTGGTCTATGAAATTGAATAAATAAATATAGCAAAAACATAATAATAATCATCAAATATTATTTGATGTATTTTGTGTATGTTCATCCAAGCTATAGAACTTTAAAAATTACTACAAAATCTACAAAGAACATATTTACGTAGATCAAAAAAGTATAATCTATGTACAAAAAGGATATAATGCTTTTGTTTTGTTATTAAAACTACTGATTCGATTTCAATGAAACTTTTTTTTATTATATTTTAATTATTTTTTGGTGCTGCAGTTGCAGTTATTTGCAGCCACTTCAGACGAGTACAGTTTGCACAAATAAAAAATAGGACTAAAAAAACACATTGAGTGTTAAATTTTAAAGTGTGTATATGTTTTATATCGTAATTTAAATGGGTCCACCGCGGCCCATCAATCTGTGAATAAAAAAAAATTGAAAATTGATTCATAATTGGCGCAGTAATCTTGTAACAAACACATCATCAGTAAAATTGAGAATCTCCTCCTTTTTGTTAGAATGGAACATCCCTATAGCATTCCTGTATGTACGCTTTAATTGTCAATGGAAGTTTTATAGACTATTAATGTTGTCTGTGGTTCCGCCCCTCTTCCTTCCCTTTTCGTTTGAGCTGCACAGCCATGTGAGTCTCTCTAATATTTCCCCTGTTTGGAATCTATTTAAATATGCAACAATATTGTTTAATTTGTATCTGTAATTTAAGCCTTGATGACGACCTTTTTGAGATTGTGCTTTATTTAAAAAATGACAATACAAATGTGACCCGTAGCTAGCTTGATTTAACTTAGATTTGGGACGGCCACATTATGTATATATACTTATTAGTCTCCACTATGCTGCAAGCTCCACAACACTTTTTTCAAGTCGTTTAAAAACGTTTTTCATTCAAACATTTAACAACATTCTACATTTTATTATGACAAACAATAAAATCAAAAGTTGAATTACTATTAGATTATTGCCAACTTTACGATAACATTATCAAAAATATGTAGCAAGCAGATTGAGAAACACTCTAATGAACTTTGACATATCGTTATCATAGCTTCTTTATTGTTTGTATTAAGGGTATCTTGGTTTGTATATTGGCAAACGTGATTAAGGTTCGAATTAACGAGTTATACACTAGTAATAAATTATTAGACTTTATCGTATCGCGCTGTTCAAATATGGGCAGGGGCAAAGATCATCATAAAACTTTTGAAATAAGTACTTAGTTGATAAGTAAACTGATAAAATGTTAATTTGTGATTTGAGACGTCACTGAGTTTTCACGATTGGTAAGATCTATGTTTACGTTTACAGAAATAATTGACTGTCCTTCGATCAACTTAAATTTTATCGAAATCGTCAATTTTTATTTCTTTGAAGGTTTTTAAGAAAAATTCTTAATTTTGATTTACAAGATCAATGTTTTTTTTTTAACTATAAAAACTGAATCAGTAGTGTTTTTATATCAAAACAAAACATACTTTCTATCAGATATCACCTAAGTATTTTGATGACATGTTTATAACGGCAAAAAAAAAGATAGTGTACTTTGTAATTTTTGCATTCATTCAAAATTCGAAAGGAGAAATTTCTCTGTTCAAAGAGTATGTATATTTTTTATGCAACTACATATTTTTTCGAGATTACGTCGTACAAATAAAAAAAAAAGTATAGTCTCTAGCCGTGTAAAAAATCATATAAATATTAGTAATTATATAATTTATTTTATATAGATAATTAATACTGTACTCTTATTTTTCACTTTTTTTAAGTTCGAAGTCTGTTCTATCTTATGAAAAATGTTTTTTATATAATATAAATGGAACGGTATGGTAATGCTAACGGAAGTTTATTCGACTTACGTATATGAGAACATGTGGCTTGAGATGTTTGATGGCGGTGGCAACACCTGCCAACAGTCCTCCGCCTCCGACCGGCACTAGGACCGCATCAACATCGGGCACCTGCTCCAGTATCTCCAGCCCTACGGTACCTTGCCCCGCCATGATGTGTGGGTGGTCATATCTGGAGAACGTCGAAGTCTCACTGTCTCATAGCACTGCCTTCCAAGGAAATGTATGTTAGGAAAGTTAGAAATGTTTTTCTTGTGGAACTTGAGAGGAATTTCTACAGTATTTTCTTGACAGTGAACTATCTGTTATTATTTGTAGTAACACAAATAGATTTCACTGTTACCTAACAAGTTATAAGTAGTATTGTTGAGCTAAAATTGTATTTCATATAAATGGTGAACCAGGTAACTGATAATGTAGATAGGCTACCCATTAATGTAGGTCAGTGCTCGTTCCTTAGCGAGCATCATAGCTTGATATTTGGCCTCTTTCATGTCGTTTCCGTGTATGATGACGTTGGCGCCAAAAGAGCGGCACTTTTCAATCTTCATGATAGGTGCCACATTTGGCATCACCACGGTGGTGGGTACGCCAAGCTGCTGGGCGTGATAGCTCAGTCCTTGCGAGTGATTCCCGAGCGATGCGGAAATGACTCCGCGCTCCTTTGCTTCTTTTGACAACAGAAGCAACGCGTTCCGTGCACCGCGTTCTTTAAAACTGTAACAGATTGTTTCATAATAAAGTAGTTTCGCCTATGAAACTCATTGAGATTTAAAACCTGAGTGCCAAATAACCAAATATGAACGAAAAAAAATTGAATTCATATGTGTCATTTTTATCGCGTGGACTTCCAAAAACAGTGCGTCTTAGTCGGTACTATTTTATAAAGAGTCTAACTAAATTACAGCTTAATGTTGTTTTGTAAATGAGTACCGTTAATAAATGCATACTATTTGCTTCCCGTTGTCTGTACCCTGAGATCTTTTAGATTACACAACGGATTTGAATGAGGTTTTCATCAATATACATAGTGATTCATGAGGAAGGTTATGTATAATACAGGACCACGCGGGCAAACTCGCTGGCGGAAAGCTAGTCTACGTAAAAAAAAAATAAAACCACATACAAGTTTTTTTGTGATATCAATATTTTATGCTTATAGTTGATACTCTAGTTGATATATAAGAAATTAATTACACAGTATATTTGACTACGATAAAAGTTGTAAGTTTTCCCATATTCCGCTAAGCCTCTCTTATTTCTTTCACCTATCACATACCAAATAAAATGGTTCATTGCTCTAAAATAAATATTAAATATATTAATACCAAATTCATAGTGAACAAAAAACCAAAATCCCACGAGACGAAGTCGAAATCCGTAGAGTTTTGATAGTACCAGATTAACAAATCTCGAGATAAGATATCAATAATGGATTTATCATTAAAATTAATTTTCAATTGCATAGCAGTTATTAAGATTTTAATGATGCCTAAAAGGCTTCTTGCTCAACCGTTAATAGAAATAATATAACACGCATTTCAGGATTTTTAGTAAATCACCCACTAATCTGTAAAACAGGAGCTGGAACTTTATCTTTAAAATTTTCCTTAAAAACTCAATTTCATGCTAGAGTTTAGATATTATTATGCATGTAACGCACTATGTATCACAAATTAAAAATACGTGTTTCAGGTATTTGACTAATATATAGATGTTGAATTTGTAAAGTTAAGACTTGTTGAGTTAGGTTACAGCGTCAAAAAAACAAAGGTTATGTTAAGTGAGAAGCTTGGCTATACATAAGATCTGAAAACTTTTGTCGGTGCTATTTGGTGTCGTATTGGCAACATTGTACATTAAATTAAAAATATTTTTGCGTTTTATTTGTCTTATCGATAGGCGACGCGATTTGGTTACGTTATCTCGGCAGCTTGCGCACGCTTAAGCTCAAGTTGTTATATTTACGCGTAGTTGAATTAACAAAAACAAAATGAGAACAATAGATGATTACGAATTGCGCAGAATAAAAAAAAAAATTGTATATCACAGATCACATTAGGTAAAATTTTATCTACTGTGGGATTAACACACCTTTTTTGACCTAGGTATAGTTACGCTCTATGATGCCGTCTGACGAAACATGGATGTGTTAGTGAGACTATCCCGCTAACGGATTTAAATTGAGGACTGGTAAAAGGCAGGGATTATTTAATTATTAGTTCATGTCAAGAGGCCGGGATCACACATTTAGCATTTTGTTTCACATAAAATACACTAATTCCGTGAAAATATTAAATAGAATTGTGCTTTTGAGCTTTCAGAGAAAATTTGAATTTCATGTTTTACCAAATGGTCTAATAAAGCAGTTTATTGAAAAATGCTTTGATAATTCCCAGTCCCAGGTATCTCGAGATGGGATTCGAACCCGATTTAGTTGAGATCATTGCTTTCGAGATATGATTTACGTAAAATTTAGTTTTCTTATTATAAATTAGGTACAGTTTATTTCGATTTTATTTCTTCACAATTAAATTTTTGAAATTCATGCTTTTGACTAAGGCAATTGCGGTGTCTTTTTAAAGCGCAATATTTTGTGTGTAACGTGTGATGGCGGCAGAGAAAGGAAATATTTTTACTTATTTATTTTTACAAATCATTGACCTAATTGCTACACGATAAGAGCCAAGCAATTATTTTAACGACGTAGTCAAGTCCATTCAATACATCCTATCTAGTTGCAACGTAAGCTTGCAAAATACTATTTTTCAAATATTCAGATTAACGTATTACGCGTGATAAACGATTTTTAATTAGAAGGGCTCGTATATACATTCAATAATCAGTAACCTTCAACATGTTTTGTACCAAGAAAAAGCATCAAAACAAGCTTTAGTTAAATGAGAATGCCTAGTCGTACATGTAACACTTCGCTTTTTAATCGACTACGGCGAAGCGAAAAGGAGGGTTATACACTCCAAAATTTAAGCATTTTTCATTAAAAAATAAGATAAAAAAACTAAAACTGTTTTGTTATGATCAGTGGCATACGACTACTCTGTTCTTTGTACCTCGCTATTATAATATAGCTAACGCTATAAAATATTTTTTTGTTTCAAACTTTTTAGAGCGTGATCAATTTGTAGTGAAGTTTTAGTTTTTTAACTTATTTTTTGTTTTATTCTTTTTAACATCGGAGATAAAGGAAACATAGAGAAGGATGTCAAATAACACATTGTATGGGAGACCCACTTAGATATTTGTTTAATTTTAATAATAATAATATTCTTTATTGCACGCTAGACAGGACATAATACAGAGAAGATAGAAAAAAGAGAAAGATTACAAAGGGCGACCTCATTGCTACGTAGCAATCTCTTCCAGGCAATCCGAGGCAAAGAAATACATGAACTATATAATAAAAAGAGGGGGGTGCAAGATGGAGAAGTAAATAGATAAATCTGTATAATGTAATATAGTAAATAAAATAGATAAAGATAAAAAGTCATAAATTTTAATAATTTTTTAAAAGTTACTGTATAAATACATAATTCTATACATATTTCAAGCGTCTATCTGTTGTCCTCATCAATATCGAGCAAAAACAATAAAAAAAAGAATCACGTTTGTTGTATGGGAGCTACCTTGAATATTGGTTTTATTTTGGTTTTTAGTATTTATTGTTGAAGCGCCAACAGAAATACATCATCTGTAAGAATGTCTAACTCTGTAAGAATGAATGTCTGTGTCTAACTTTCACGATTCATGAGATACAACTTGGTGACAGACAGAGAGCGAAGTCTTAGTAATATCCTTTGCGCGCGGAACCCTAAAAATAAACATTACCTACCGATAGTGTTTTTTCTTAGAACAGCCATACTAGATTATACTCTAGGATTACTTAAATCTGTAAGTTGTTTTAAAATTATAATTTAAATAGCTGTTTTCCCGCGACTTCGCATGTGTAATTTATAGATTCATTATAAACCGCGTATGATGAAGCGTGAAAGAATTTTTAAAATCAGTCTTAATAGTTTTGAAGCCAAGCCGTCCTGAACAAGTGGTAGGGGAAAAATTTTTTTTGGACGATACAAAAGTGCTTGTAACAAGCTTACTTGAATAAAGATATTTTCATTTCATTTCCTATTCGATGCAAACAAACAAACAAATAAAATTCGACCTCTTTATAATATTAGTATAGATAATAAAAGTAATATTAATAACTAGAAAGTTGTTTAAACAACTCACCTTCCGGTATGTTGTAGGAAGTCGTTCTTGAGGTAAATGTCCAACCCGTACAAGGTAGACATGTGGGATTTCTGTAACAAACAATATGTAATACCTAATTAATATTTAATAATAAGAGTTTTTAACCTATTTAATGATCCTGTAAGTATCCTTTTTTCGCAAAACACCCGTCTTTTCTTTAAATTCTTTCAATCCTTTAAATTAGGGGATAGAAACTTAATTTCGTACAATTATGATTCATATATGTAGGAATTCCTACACTAATTTTTAATGTGTAAAAAAGGTTTGCAAGCCCTATTTACTAATATTATGAAGAGTTAAGATTTAATTTTTTGTTTGCAACGCATAGGCTCCAAAACTAATGGGCCGATTTTAAAAATTCTTTCACACATCTTCTCTGTGCCCTGTTTTTAGTTGATTGGTAGGGAATGTCTAATTACATTAAGTCTGCCAGTCAGTTTTGCGAACAAAGAAGTATAGATAAAAAAAGTCAAACAAAGAAAGGCCGTAGTTGATGTTTTTGCTAGGCTGTAACTGGACGCAACGAACAACTAACCGCATTCTCAGAGCGGAAGAACATTAGAAAGAGAGAGAGACCTAGACTCGGCATTGAGTGATTTCAGTTGGAAGATAAGAAAAGAGAAGACGGTATGAATTTGAAGAGGTTAGTTATAAGTAAAATAATATTCATATTTTACAATTAACAACATTCACTTCCGAGCGAAATTAAGACCTGTGATCATACTTCATCTTCATCAGCCCTATTACGTCCCCACTGCAGGGGCTCAGGCCTTCCTTATGGATGGTTAAGGAGGATGGGCCATGACCCTCCACGCTGGCCCAATGCGGATTGGAGGGTATTAACGACTGCAAATGCAGCCGGGACCAACGGCTTAACGTGCCTTCCGAAGCACAAAGTAGCTCGAGATAATAATTTTTTGGTCACCCATCCGTGACCGACCCTTGCGAAAGTTGCTTAACAACAACAATCGCGGGCCGCGGCGCTTATCCTCTACGCCACCGAGCTACTACTGTGATCATACATAGGTTTATAAATCAAGATCGATACAATAATACAAATGAATAAACAAAACAAAATCCTCTATCTTACCACGCATGGCGTTTTTACAATCCCACTCTGTATGCGGAAGGCGGCAGCAGACACGTCCTCGAATGAGATTTTCTGAGGATTCTCTTTGTCGCACATAGGGTCGAACTCGATCATCTGGAACACCATTCTCGGTTGTTAATTATTATCAACTATAACATAACCAATCGAGTCCTCGCACCCGTTCAACTACTCGCGCAAGACTGACTGTTTTATGATTATTATCTATCTTATTTACAGAATTTAAATAAATAATTATCTATAGATGAAGTTAGGTCAAAGGTAAATTGGAATGTGCGTCTGATGGAATATGCCATTTACACTGTGTAATTCATTATTATAATAATTATGTGTACTTATTAATGAGAATAAGAAATGGTAGATAACTCACAGTGACATTATAACTATATACGTCCATAATTTATAAGAGTTATTAATAATTAAATAATAATGTCGTTAGTGCGAACTTGAATATACAAATGAGCAGATTGATAATATTTTTTACTCTTATAATGTTGATAATCATTTCAAATGTTCGCTGCGCAATTAGTGGTCCTAAAGTTGCTTTGTAATAAACATTACTGTTGTAGGAATTAATATTTACTTCGAGTTATACTGAAATAAAAATAGAAATCGACTAGCCCTTCTGAACTTTTCTGGACGACATAAAAAACTTTTAAAAATAAAGCAGACTTCAACTTTCAAAAAGTTGAGAATATTGCTGCTGATCTTGAAAGTGGTTTAATTATTCAAGAAGCTGGTAGCAGCTTCAGCTGTAGAGCTAAATTAGGTTCTTAAAAAATATTTAAAAAAATTTTTGGGTGTTATTGATGTTTGTGTATGAAGTATCATTAAAATATGAAAAATCTATATAACAATATAATAAAAGGTTTAGGAAAGGAGATTGTTTTAATGATTGCCGTTGAAATATATTTTGATTTTGAAGTTGTTGTTAAATGAAATTTAAATGGTGACTTCCTATTTCTAACTGACTTCAAAATTGAAAAGAAGGAGGCTTTACGTTCGAAGACGATGTATTTTTTTTTATAGATGTTCACCGATTTTTCCTTGATTTTTTAACCGAGTTTCAAAATTCTTTTTTATTCGACAGCTTATTGGATCGAGCCGGTGCGATTTAAATTTTATCGAAATCGAAACAGTAGCTTTCCTATTACATTTAAATAAAGTATGCTCTTCATCTGATATCACTTAAATATTTATATAATATGTTTATAGCAGCGAAAAAACAAGATTTTGAAGTATAGTGTCACAAATGAGCGAATAATGAATATCATTGAGATTGTTTGTTTTAAATAAAATATACTTTGCATAACAGCTAGAAGCTGTTTTCATGCGACTTACCCGCGTAAAGAAATGATAGTCTATAACACCCACGAATGGAATGGAATGCACTACATGAGTCCGACAAACGAAAGAGCGATGAATGTGTGTGCGACAAAACTGTAATGCAAATAACTGGTTCGAATGTACGTTAGTGCAATACACTGAAGGTTGACAGCATTTTTGTGTGACACTGAAGTTGGTTATGCCAAAAAATTATTGTTATCCCAAATAACCATTGCTTTTGAACTCTACTGTGAACAACCGATGAGATTAAAGCAAGAACTTGAGAGCAAGTGGCCAGAATAGAAAGGGTGTGGTTTTTCATCATGATAACGCTAGATCGCATATATATTTTGCCACTCAGCAAAAATTGAGAGTTTGGCTGGGAGGTGTAAATGCATCTGCCGTATAGTCCCGATCTTACACCTTCACCTGTTTAAGTCTTTTCAGAATTCTTTAGGCAGTGTCAGGTAAATATCACACTCGGTACTCTCACATACGATTCATACAAGGAAATACCAACCACTGTGCACGTGCCCAAGATCTCTTCCTGGGCACAGCGGGTCAGTGGAGATCTGACGTGGCAGTCCTTGCAGAACCGTAGATGGTACCCACCAACCCCAATTGGCTGGGAGACAGAGGGGACAGCGTTGCCAACACCCTTATTAGTCCAACTGCCAGCATGTAGCGGCTTGGTACGGGAAAATCACACTTATCGGGATCTACGTCTCCCCGAACCAAACGGTGGCACAATATGAGCGATGGCTAGATATGCTCGAAAGGACATGTATGAGACTCTCCACAGACCAAATGATCGTCCTGGGTGATTTCAATGCTAAGCAGTCGGCTTGGAATTCCCCAGTGACAGATCGGGAAGGTCGATTGTGATAGACTGGGCGACAACTCTCGGCTACATGGTTGCCAATAGAGGCTCAGTATTTACATGCGTCAGAGGTGATGGGGGCTCAATAGTGGACTTGACGTTTACCACCCCTTCACTTGCCCCACGCATCTATGACTGGCAAGTGCGGCTTATGGAGATTCTCTCCGACCACCGTTATGTGAGGTTCGGTGTATCCCCAACTGACGGTTTGCACGATGGAACTCAAGCGCCAGAGAATCCCCGTTGCCTATATGGTCGGTAGCGAAGCTTGATGTTGATCGCCTGGTAGAGGCAGCTGCGTTTCAGGCGTGGATGGCGATGGAGGGATCGACATATCCGGACATTGACTCGCAGCAAACACAATATAACGAGGCTATGGTGGCCGTATGTGATGCTGCGATGCCTAGAGTCCGCAAGTGGCATCGTTGAAAAGGCGTATATTGGTGGTCGAGAGAGATTGAGACCCTCCGAGAGGAGTGCCACAGAGCGAGGTATGCACTACAAAGGTGCAGAAGGCGACGCACTAACGTCCCTGGAGAAGAGGATACGCTCCGCCGAACATATCATGAGAGTAAGAAGGCTTTGGAAATAGAAATCGGCAACTCTAAATCCATAGCCTGGCAAGAGTTTCTCGGAGAGTTGGAGCGGGACCCATGGGGACGTCAGTTCCGTATGGTGCGGAATCGCCTAAAACGCCAGTCACCCCCAACGGATACACTCGACCCGACCCTCCTAAAGCGGATTGTGTCCACGCTCTTCCCGGCGGAGGCTCCTGACCTCCAACCCAGGATGACTCTCCCGCAACAGCCACCGGAGGAGAGTGAGGAGATTCTGCCAATCAGTCCGGAAGAGCTTAAGGACGTAGTGGATCGCCTACGGAGAAAGAAAAAGGCGTCGGGACCAGACGGCGTGCACGGATGGGTAATCCCAATGGTGCACCGGTACCTAGGAGTGCACCTTGAGGATTTCTTAAATAGATGCCTTAGGGAAGGTGTCTTTCCGTCGGCGTGGAATAATGGCAGACTGTGCCTTTTGCGCAAGGAGGGGAAACCAAGTGATGCTCCATCGGCGTATTGCCCGATCGTCTTATTGGACGAGGCAGGAAAAATTCTGGAGTGCATAATAGCCGACCGGATCGTTCAACATCTAAATGCGGTCGGCCCAAACATCTCGGAGCGACAGTTTGGTTTTCGGAGGCGCAGGAGCACCATCGACGCCTTGATGGAGCTACGTAAGCTGACGGAGGCTGCGGATAGAAGGGGGGAGAGAGTCATTGCTGTTTCCCTGGACATAAACAATGCTTTTAACTCCCTCCCCTTCCCATGCATCCGGGATGCACTCGTGTACCATCGGTTGCCTCGGTATATCAGAGCTGTGGTTGAAAACTACCTGGAGGCCAGAACGATCACGTACTAAGTAAAGGGAGGAGGTGTAGTGGCCAGGACTATGGCGTGTGGAGTTCCACAGGGGTCGGTCCTCGGACCGCTCCAATGGAACCTTGGCTATAACTGGCTTCTTCGAGGTCGGATGCTGTCCATGACCAGCGTCATCTGCTATGCGGATGACACCTTGGTCACAGCTAGGGGTGTGGAATATGGAGAGGCCAGAATAAGGGCGGAACAAGCTACTGCACATGTGGTGGACAGTATCACTAGATTGGGTCTAAAAGTCGCTGTCAGTAAAACGGAGGCAATTGTCTTTCATGGGCCCAAACGGGGCCCACCCGAAGGAGCCAGTTTCAGAGTAGGTGAAGAAACCATCCGCATGACCCTGGGCCTTAAATACCTCGGCCTAGTATTGGATGGACGCTGGCACTTCAATCGCCATTTTAAACAGCTAGTGCCTAGAATCCAAAAAACAGCAGCCGCTCTGGGAAGACTACTTCCCAACGTTGGGCACCCCGGCAGCAGTTGCCGCAAGCTGTTTACCGCGTGATAAAAAGCATGGCCCTGTATGGGGCGCCTGTGTGGGCGAATGCCCTTAATACACCTAACACTATCCTCCTCCACAGGCTACAAAGGGTGATTGTAAACAGGGTGATAAGGGGGTACAAGGCCATCTCTTTCGAAGCGGGATGTGTCCTGGCAGGAATGTTTCCTTGGGACCTCGAGGCCCAGGTCAGCAGAGAGGTATATATAGGGAGAGTGACTGCCATCACAAGAGGGGAGCCGGCCACCATGGAAGAGATGGTGAGAATCCAGCAGGAGGCTAATGAAAAACTGCTGGAGAGCTGGAAACGCAGGCTCGAGAACCCCTCATATGGGACTCGTACTATCAGAGCTATGCAGCCGGTTCTCCACCAGTGGCTCGACAGGGGCTTCGGATCCCTGTCTTTCGGGTTGGTGCAGATGCTGTCCGGGCACGCATGCTATGGTCAGTATCTGCATCGTATCCAGCGGGAGGAGTCTCCAGCCTGTCACCACTGCAACGCAGCTGTAGATACCGCGCAACACACTCGCGAGGAGTGCCTCGCTTGGTTCGAACAACGACGAGTGCTGACAGAAGTTATAGGACAGGACCTCTCCCTACCTGGCATAGTCAAAGCTATGCTGGATGGAGACAGGTCCTGGATGGCAGTCGCCTCCTTCTGCGAGGGCATGGCCCCAGCGAACTCTCTCCGCAGCAGAGTGAGGGGGGAAGACGTAGACGTATCGCCAACGAATTCCCCCTCTCTTCCTGAAAGGTCAGCCTTGCTCCCCGGAGCCGCCACGTGTGCGGTGCCCGCCGGTGGGCCCGGGGAAGGGTTGGACAGCGCGCGCGCTGTCACCTCGCGCGGGGCTCGCCGGCTGGCGCCGCCCACGTCGCCCTGCCCGTGCCACGGCTCTCATCATTTCTCCTACGGAGAAATGGCTGTTGAGTGGCGGCACTGGGTCTCTGGTGGCTCCGGGGACCAAGGTGACCCCCGTCGTGTTTGCGAACGCAGGGATGTCGCCGTGGGGGCGGAAACGCGTGTGCTTTTTAGGACGCGTGGGGCACCCTCTTCGGGGGTGGTACCCTGTGACTGCGATGGTGGTGGTGACGTCGACAGGCACATGAAATGCCCGGGCGCGTTGGCGCGGCTCCGCCTAGACGGGGCCACGCCCCGCGCTCCGGGAAGTGCGTGTGGATGAATTTATATGTGTATACGTATACGCACGAATGTGAATATGCGAGTGAGTATGTGAATGACTATTTGAATGATGCATGCAAAGTGGTGTTTGTATGGGCATGAAGTGTAGGAAAGAGTGAGTGTGTTTGTTAGTGTGTAGTAAGGGTAAGGATATGGGTACAACAGAAGATTGAATGTATAAGTGAGGTGTGTATGGAAAGTGTGTGTGCGTGTGGGTGTACGTGGGTGCCTGTCGACATCGCTACTGCAACTGCGGCTGCGTCGCTGGTGCCGCATCCCGGATGGACCGGGCGACCGGCCGGTGGGGGCGTGGCTGCGGACACGGCATGGGGGCCGGGGACTCTCTCCGCCCGGCGTCGGTAAACTGCGTTATGCTTGCATGGCGCTGTCTTGGCGGCGCCGAGGGGCGACAGAGCCTCTTTGGTAGAGGGAACGAGAGTGCTGCGAGGGGCCCTGAGGGGTAGCCTTGGGGTAAGCCCACAGGAAGCCCAGGTGGGAGGCCAGGGTGTACTCTCGAATTGGAAGGCGGCAAGGGGTGTGGGATCGCGTATTAACGCATCCCTCCCTTCTGCGGATCGGCGGACGAGGGCTGACACCTCACCCGCACCCCCTGGGATTAGCCCACGGGGACGATCCACTGTTTGGGAAAAGGCTGTTATTCACCCAAGTCTTTTCCTTCCCGCAGAGGGCGATTCCTCTTCCCCCCGAGAGGAGTTCCAGCGCGGCGGAAGAAACCGGGCCCTCCTTGCAGGATACCAGGTTCTTCCTATCCGTGTGAGGTGAACCGCAGCAGGTTTTACCAGGTAGGCCTTTCATACCAACCTGCCCTTTTTAGGGCGGAGTGGAAGTGGAGCCCTGGTTTGAGGCTTAAAGTGCATTTCCCCTGAGTTAACAAAAAAAAAAGAGGTTAATAGCATGCAAGGACTGCCAAAACCACTTGTCGTGGGTTTTTGATCAGAAGCCCCATAAATTCTGCAGAAATGGGATCATGTCCCTACCTACAAGATGGCAAAAAGTTATCAAAATGGTACCTACATACTTTAATTAAATGTAACTTTTCACCAACCAATTACAAATTGTTTTAATTTCATTTTGAGACCTACATATATAGGACTTAGGTCCTTGCACACAGATAAAGTGTAACTCAAACAAAGCCATTCTGCTTCATCATCATATCAGCTCCATTATATTTTTACAGTGCATTGACATACCTACAAGTTATATATCCATACAAAATTTCATCTCAATCGGAAATCAAAACCCAACCAAACCAAAGGAAGTGGGTCTAACCAAGTTTGTGATAAAGCTTTCTTAAGAAATTTTACTAGGGCATTAGCGAAGTGTCGAACTATTGTCGCACAATCGTATGTCGCATAAAAATGCTGTCGACCTTCAGTGTATAAGTCTCAAATTTCAGTGTTTTTACTTGAATTTATTATCAAAAATTTCTTCGAAGCATACTTGTAATTATATAGAAGAGGATCCATAGATCTATCGAGAACTCAAAATATCAACTGTTATTATAATATTTATATAAACTTGGCAAGAAAATAGATTTTTCGGAAGTACTGTTTTAAAGGTCATATTTTAATGTCATTTTTGTTTTTTTTTATGAAAAATCTATAAAACGAAACGGTCGGCTCGCTATTTTATTGTGTAGTAGATGAACTCAAGTTACTATAAATAAAAAGTCTTTGTTCTACTTGTTACCGTTACTGAGAACCGAGATCTGAATTTAAGGCCACTTGACGCGCGTTTCAAGTGGATGTCGTGCAGGTACCAAAGAATCTTGTTATACAAAAAATATTTCTATGATCGTGTACAAATATTTTGCTTGTATTGTTATTCATATATGGGCAGCATTAAATAACAATAAAAATATATAGAACTCATTGCGTTGTTTTTATTTATTTCCAAATTATAATACTTATGTTTTAGAACCAATTTTTCCATAGTTATTTTCTATTGTTATTAACTCTTCAGAGCAGTTGTAATTAATAATGCTACTAAATAATTGTTTCTAGATTCCGAATATTATTAGTGTAAGCTTATTTTAACGGTCTTATTGGAAAAAACACATTCTAATAAGAATCGACACGCTCCGCCAACCTGTCTGTGACATACTCGCGATGCGGTGCCACAGATGTGCATTTTGTCGCTAGGCGGCCCCACAGACGAGAGGATAACACTAGCGTACATTTACACCTATGGCTGTCAAACCTCATTGGAGGCGGGGTGTGGTAATTATTTAACTAGATTTTAGCGATTGCTGCAGCCATTTGGAGTCTCTTCAGGCCCGGAGGCTCGAGACAGACCGCCCTCTCCGTCCCCTTAGGCCGCCACTAACTGATTTGAACCACAGTTATTCGCATTACAATTTTGTTGATCGCACTTTCGTTTGTTGGATTCAATGGTGCACTCTATGTCCTAGCCGTGTGTTAGTAGTAACAAGGTTTGTATTTATCGTAAAGGGCATGACATTGCTCAAACCTGTGCAATAGAAAAAGTTTATTGAAGAACCCTTTCAACAAACAAAGTTTTGAATTACCACCACTTCTTATGAAGAATATCAGGATAATCGGACAGTCTCTCAGAATAATGAGGAATATTAAAAAAAATATTTCCCGAAATCAAAGTAGATGTCGCTACGGTACTTTCTTGATTTCTCCATGACATACCTTCGGGCGTTTGCGCACTACACTGAATTTTCAGATTCGGCGGTCCATTTTTTTCCAGTCCGGAATGACATGAAAAACCTGGATGAGGAGCTTGTGCACTTGTCCGATTTTTTCCGGATCAGAACGGTGCAATTTAGGGCAGCTCTCTTTGAAGCTACACGTCACTTACGCTAGGTATGATGAGATTTTTGGGACGTCGGTAATTGCTTGCTTTATTACCCTTCAAAATCAAAATCAAAATTATTTATTCAGTCTAGGCTTTTACAAGCACTTGTGAAGGTCGAGAGCTACGCCATCGGTTCGTAAATCTACGACGGGAGACCTTGTACCGAGAAGAACCGACAAGAAACTCGGCAAGGGCTGCTTTTTTCTCCCTGTTTTATTTCATACAGAGCGTAAAGATTGAAAAATGACTTCATCAAAATATGAAGTCACTTTCCATTCCACTTTATGTGCAAAGACGTAGAAGATTGTAAAAATATTGGGTTCATCCCCTTATAAATGAAAGGTACCTAAATAATGACCTGACACGGTCATTTTACATAAACCATAATAAATTGAGGCAGGACGAAAGCATTTTTTTTACTCCTATCAGATGACTACTATCAGATGTAAAAACTTGTACCCTTACTATTTTAGGAAGAGCTTTATTCGCATACAATAGCTAAAAATATCTGTTTATTTCGAATAAAATTACTGATAATATTCTCGAACTTGATGTTCAAATTTATAATCATGCAAATTTTCTTCGAAGTTTTGTAAAAACAACTTCGAGCGATTACAGACATAGACCAATCGTTGATGCCGTTTCGTAAACAAAGCTGATGTAGAAGATGAGTGCCGTGTAAGCGGAGAATTAATATGTTAAATGAACTTTACGGTGGTATTTAAATAGGCCTTCCTTTTTTTAGTAGGATTTAAATGTCATGATTTAACTTTAGTCATTGTAATATCAGTTGGCTGCTTCATATACACTTACTAGCTTTTATTTAATACGCGTGGTACCATACGATGATCAAATGAGAACTATATCGATTATCAGTATATCGCAAATTATCAATATCGATATAAATATCATTTTTCATAATTCGATTATTTTTTCCCAAGCCAACTCCATAGGCTAAAGAGAGAAAAGTAAAATTCCGGACCGTTAAATTAATGACAGTGCATAGGCTAGCATTACCTACATATGGCCTGACATATGGGACCGGAAAAAATCGGACCGCCGGACCTGAAAATCTAGTGCAGTGCACATGCACCCTTTCTTTTATGCATAAAAGTAAACTAGTTTTCGAAACACAATAAACAACTCATAATTTATTTGTACTTCCATATTTTAAATGTCTATCTTTGGTCCATTCGTTTCCTGCATAAATCAACTTTTGCTATAGTTGCCATGTAGTGGGGGTGCTTTTTTAGTGCTTTCTTTTTTTTTAAATACTTCATCTTTGGAAATTACCGGATATTGGTCTAAATTAGGTCATCAAAAAGACTTATATTTTATACATTATTTACAAATATGCATCTTTTGAGTGGAAATTTTAAAATGGGAATGTGAAACACATTATATCCATATTTTGAATTTTTGAAAAGTGAATAATGCTTCGTCCTTGTAGACTTATGTTTTACATATAAACCTGCCTCTTTAATCAGTCTTGTCTATTGATGAAAACGACATTAAAATCCGTTGCTTAGTAAGGTTAAATATGTATCTCAGTACAGAAAGTGGGAAGCAACTTTGTTTTAAACTATGTGTGTATAGGGTTAGAGACGTATTTTCTATTTCAAAAATCTCGTATTCTTTAAATTTGCTGACATTACCAGAGATTTACGAAATAATAAGATAGGCATATTTTTTTGTAAAATTCAATTTTCACAGTACGATTCAAGGTCCCCTTTTTGTCTCAGAGCTTTAGTAGACATATAATACTTTCCTTAACATATCTGTTATTTTATAGATTTTGCTAATTTATTAATTTCTAAGAAATAACGAATTACTTAGGTATCATATAAAAAGTGTCTATCCCAAAAGTACTTGGTATCGAATCAAAACCTCTCGGACGGTGTATATTTACTTAATCTCATGGTATCGATATATTAATATCGTAATACTGTAAATATTCTTTGGTATCGATTCTTTTTATGTAGCCCCTCCCTATACGTCAATGTCAAGATCAAGATTCGTTTGTATTCGTGGGCAGGTTATGTTGTGGTTTTGTAAAAATAAAACAGTTTCTCATTTAATATTATATCCAACATTTGCTCACTTCTGTAGTGTTCAAAGATATACAAACCAATTTACTGTATTCAACGATATATAAACCAATTTACTTTATATAAGACCATCTTTGACAATGCCGTACGCAAATCAACCTTCTGTGCATATAACAGAGTTAACTGACGATAATGTTAAATTTGTTGTAGAAGATACAGAATTAAGTGTAGCCAACAGCATGCGTCGAGTGTTTATAGCTGAAACGCCTACGATGGCCATCGACTGGGTACAATTAGAGGCAAATTCCACTGTTCTGAGCGATGAGTTTCTGGCTCACCGCATCGGTCTCATTCCACTGATATCAGACGACGTTGTTGATAAAATTCGATACTCTCGCGATTGCATGTGTGCCGACTTCTGCACAGAATGTAGTGTTGAGTTTACATTAGATGTGAAATGTACAGATGATCAAACAAGACACGTCACTACAGCTGATTTGAAAACTAGTGACCCACGCGTTGTGCCCGCTACGTCACGGCACAGGGATGAAGATCAAGCAGATTATGGTGAAGCTGATGAAATTTTAATCATAAAACTTCGTAAAGGACAAGAATTAAAGTTGAAAGCATATGCAAAGAAAGGTTTTGGAAAAGAACATGCCAAATGGAATCCCACAGCTGGGGTGTGCTTTGAATATGATCCTGATAATATAATGAGACACACATTGTATCCTAAACCAGAGGAATGGCCGAAGAGCGAACACACTGAACTCGATGAAGATCAATTTGAAGCAGAGTTCAATTGGGAAGCCAAACCAAACAAGTTTTACTATAATGTTGAGTCAGCAGGTGCATTAAAACCGGAAAATATTGTTTTGATGGGTATTGTAGTATTGAAAAACAAATTATTGAATCTTCAAGTACAGTTAGCACAAGAAGTACAAAATGATGCTCTTGCTATTAATTAGTATTCTTAATTTGTAATGATAATCATAAAGAACACCTATATAAGATTAATCAAAATACATTATCACTGTAATTTTGCTTAAAGTTAAATATTTTCACCAAAATAATTATAGCTTTTATTTATTTATTATTGCTATAGCTGCCCCACAGAATTCTGATAACTAGCCCATTATAGATACTGTATATTTTTGGTTTTTGGGTATCCTTTATATTCACAAGGTTGATATGATCATTTACAAAAAAAAATCAAAATTGATCACAGGATTTAGTGATGTGCTAATTGTCAAACAAAATTTCATTTATATATCTATAGAAGTATAGATATAAACTTTTATGGAAAATTTTTATAATTATAATATAAAAATTAATAGTATCTACAATAGGGAATATGCTTCTGATTCAAAACAAGATAAATATTATTATGATCAATTTTGCATTCAATATTGCTTTACAATGTGTATGTAAATATTATAAACATTTTGTTTTCATCAGAAAAATTATTATTATTGAAAAGTTAAAAAGATGTGGTAAAGGGTTTAGCCGGATACGTATGACGAGTCGGCCCCCAAATGGGAATCGATATTGAAACTTATGTTTTAATATCGACTTGATGTTCAAACACGATTTATGTACTTTTCGCGACCGACTTCCGCTTTGACCTTGAGATAGAGAGCAAAATATCCGTATGCTTGACTATTACTGAATGTGATATATCTCTGAAAGCTAATTAAGATAAAGAAGTGAAACTAACGCGAGGTGTTAGGTTACATTACAGAGTATATCACATATATTTTTTTATAATTTTTAGAATAAAAAATTACATTAAAAAAATTAAAATAAAAAAAACATGTTTTTTTTTCTGAGTTCTCTGTGACTTACAATCACGAAATTAATATATGTTATGCTCCTTTGTGTGCTCTATTACCCATAAAAATTGCGTGAAAAAAAAGTTGGTGCAACACAACGAAAAAAAATTATATGTGATTTCTGTCTTATGGTATACCCCTGTATTATAAGGTTTTCACATTACATCATTGTTTTTTTTTTCGAAATTTCACATCAGCTTGTTTTAAAACATAAGTAACTAGTCTTAAGAGATGGGATAATAGTTAAAAAAGAAATGAAAAAAAAAAACAGCCAGTGTTCAATACTTATTATTATTACTTTTTCGTGTCTATCAAAATACAAGAAACAAAATATTAATCATCGTCACTGTTGTAATTAATTACAATCGGAACACTTTGAGTCGCAAATAACTTAGTTAGGACCTCAGCAGGACGTACGATTTTGGACAAATATCATCCATATGATAGATAATAAATAATAGCTGCTACATGAGAACAGCATCCCACTGTACGTTTGCCATTGGGGCAAGCACAGCAATAACGAAGAATACTATTGTAGTCATTACTTTCGGAAATATAGTGAATGTAAATTCGATAGACTTTTCTATTTATATGTCTTGATTTCACTTCTGCTTTGATGATATTAGGTGCTGATTTCACATATTGTACTGAGAGATTATTTTGATCGTCCATTATTTCGGCCAAGTTAAATGCTGCACATTTAGAAGTAGAAGCTTTTTTGTTAATATATGGGATAAGTCGACACTTCTCACAAAAAATATCATTAACTATTACGATTTTATTCAAACAGTCACTAAACACTTTAGCTTCTTCTTCATTCTTTATAATTTTTTTATAACCAGGAATCTTACACAGGTACTTGTTACAATTTTTACACTTTTTCGACATTATTACTTAATAATGATTTGGTTCGATAGTTAATAATTTCAAAATGCTGATACAAAATACCTATGACAGAATTTGAGTCCCAAACTGCCTTCTTGTGTAATACAAATGACTGCTACTTTAGCTAAACAAACGATGCAGTAAACAGCTCGATAACAAGTTCGAACTTGTTTGTTTATACACTCACACTACAAGGCGCGAATCACATATAATTTTTTTTCGTTGTGTTGCACCAACTTTTTTTTCACGCAATTTTTATGGGTGATAGAGCACACAAAGGAGCATAACATATATTAATTTCGTGATTGTAAGTCACAGAGAACTCAGAAAAAAAAACATGTTTTTTTTATTTTTATTTTTTTAATGTAATTTTTTATTCTAAAAATTATAAAAAAATATATGTGATATACTCTGTAATGTAACCTAACACCTCGCGTTAGTTTCACTTCTTTATCTTAATTAGCTTCAGAGATATATCACATTCAGTAATAGTCAAGCATACGGATATTTTGCTCTCTATCTCAAGGTCAAAGCGGAAGTCGGTCGCGAAAAGTACATAAATCGTGTTTGAACATCAAGTCTATATTAAAACATAAGTTTCAATATCGATTCCCATTTGGGGGCCGACTCGTCATACGTATCCGGCTAAACCCTTTATAATACTCAAACGCAACACTATTTGTCAAAGCAGCTGTGACTAAAATATACAATATAAATGTATAGGGATGTTATTGTTACAAAATGTTACCATCAATGCAATGACATCTATGTATCATGCCGTAAAACAACAGATTATAGCTTAAATGACGTTTAAGGCTTTTATTTTTTAACACCTTTGCTCGTAAAGCTGATGTAATTCCACCGGTTTTAAATATGTAAAGCGGGTCATAAAAAACGCGTGTGTTACCAAAGCAAATAGTTAAGTTATAGTCCATACAAATTCCATAACAGTATTATTTGCCATTTCGCGCGCTGTTGCTATTCAAATTTCGAACTAAACGCCGCGCGGTGCCAGTCAGTAGGCAGCGCTAGCGCGCTACTAAAATGGCGGGAAAGCAACAGTGTACATTCACAGATTGAGTTTATTTAAATAAAAAAAAAAACAGTTTATTCGGTAATTTAAAAACTAACGTCTTTACCAACATTTTCACGCAGCTGCGACAGAAAATAATCCTCGCGCCATTTTTCTCAAATTTTCTTTCTTTGTCCTTGTATTGTGCATATCTAAAAATGACAACTTTCAATAATGAAGAAGAGCAATATATTACTTCAACTCCACCGGATATACTAACAGAAGCGCGAACCGCATGCGACAGCTTGCTGCTGTCAATATCCAAAGACAGATACATAACCACGTATGAAAATTTCTTGAAGTGGAAAAACATGAAAAATGCCAAGTCATTTTCCAAAAATGTAGTTTTGGCGTATTTGAATGAACTAGCTAGCATATATAAGTCTAGCTCGTGGATAACATATTCTATGCTGAAAAGTACCCTCAAGATGAAAAATGGTGTCGATATTAATTTCTATTCAAATCTCATTGCATTTTTAAAGAGACGCTCTGATGGTTTTATAAAGAAAAAATCTAAAGTACTGTCATCAAATGACGTGGAAAAGTTTCTAAGAGATGCTCCAGATAGCCAGTACCTGGTTACAAAGGTCAGTTTGCCTCCTTATTTTATGTACATTATTTTATTTTACATATTTTTTAACGACCGTCTGTAAGCTAAGTACCTATACCTTATCTAACACATTTTTATTTCTTTTCAGGTTGCGTTAATATTTGGTATTAATGGTGCATGTAGACTGCAAGAGCTTTACAATGTTACCACAAATGACATTGAAAATCAAGGCAAAATGCTTTTAGTTAAAATCCCAAACACTAAAAACAAAATACCCCAATCTTTTATTATCGACGGCCCATTTTATGACGTGGTCAAAAAATATGAAGCTCTGCGTACGATTAAGGCAAAAAATAATAATTTCTTTCAGAATTACCAAAAAGGTAAATGTACTGCGCAACCTACTGGCATAAATAAATTCGGTGCCATGTCAAAGGAAGTCGCCAAGTCTTTAGGATTGCCGGATGCTGATTGTTATACAGGGCACAGTTTCAGAAGAACGTCAGCTACATTACTTGCTGATTCAGGAGCTGATATATTGACTAAAACGGCATGGCGGGTGGCGTTCTAACGCTGTAGCAGAATCTTATGTAGAAGATTCCATCCAAAACAAAGCAAATATAAGTGTCAAAATAACTCAGGCAATAAATTTGGAGCCACAAACGAAGACTAACTCTTCAAACCCCCTTTCATCATACTTCATTTATTTCTAATTCCTTTACCCTCACAGCTATTCGCCTTTGGAATGCTCTTCCGTTTCGCATTAGAAATGCTCAGAGTAAGGTGATATTCAGGAAATTGGTGCGTGAGCACTATCTCGGACTGTAATTGTATCGTTCGCATTCTGTATGTTATTAATGTGTATGTATTTGTAATTAGTATTCATGTAATTATTCAATATTTATATTTATATATTTTTTTATTTTGAAATTTTATTTTTACTGGATATATCAATCTTTATCGCCTAACATGCAAATCCAACATTCGCTCAGGTTGACTGGTAGAGAATGCCCTTGGCATTAAGTCCGCCATTTGTATTATTTTTATTTAATGCAATAAAGAGTAAATAAGTAGAGGGGCGCGGCTCAGGGCAAAACTTATAATAACTGATAATATTTTTTTATTTACAACTAATGACGAATTACAATGCTCTTCTGCCGCCTTTCAAGAAGTTTCGTCATCTCCAACATTTACCCTAACACAAAACAACGACATTATGAATAGTAATAATAATAATAACATAATTAAAAAACCATCTACAACTACGTATCATTTTGATAATTGTAATTTCATTAACTGTTTTAATAATTAAAAATTAACAAAATATAAAATGATTTTTTTTTCTGTTTCCTCGCAAATGTGTTAAAAACGTCGTACGTTATACGTGCGTATTGGTTATTACATGCTCGGCTCAATTATGTCCTCGCCTTTGGCTCGGGATGAAATTCCGCCTCGCATGTTATAGATAACCATCATAACGCACTAATATCGTAATGTACTATTACGAATTTAGTAAGATATAAGGTATAAGATTAAAAAGGTTGATAATATAAGAAAAGACAATTAGTTTTTATTTGATTTGATCACATATTCATATGCTTTTTAATATTGTATTGGATGTTTTTATTTTCCATAATTGTAGTGAAAATAAAAATAAGTAAATTTTTCCCATACCTATTTACCCATTTCATATTTATGCCACAGCACGACCGTAATACAACATCGTCTCAAAGCCATCGTTTTAGCCCCTTGTAC